TTTTTTAAATCCAACATTCTCAGGACCTCTGTTTATATCCAGACCAGAGCGTGCACACTTCCTAGTAAGTGTACAAATGTTGAATTTTCTGCTCTAGCTACACATGTAAAAGACAAGCAAAGTTCCTGGAAAACATCAAGATTGAGAAGAAAAGCCGCCCTCTGTTTGTGTACATAAGTGATATATTAAGCATTGTAAAAACACTTTGAGCTATTCCATCTAGGAACAGCATCAAATAACGGACCAGAAGAAAACTAAAATACCGTAGAAAAAAAGTAGCTCACTGCTTCCATTTAATTATCAAAAAACAGATGTGCACAATTTACAATCTATATTTAAGATTCCTTTTGTTCCATATGCTTTACCCTCCTTTAGTATCACAGGAATAAAGTCTGAGGTCATTTGTTGTCTGTGGGCACATCCTGCATTTACTGCCTTACACGGGAAACCAAATCATTTCAGAGTGAGCATTATAACAATGAATCATGAATCATTAACAACTTAAGACCCACTGACAGTACAAAGACACACTTTATCAGTTATAAATACCAGTTATACCAGTCATTTATCCTCCACTTTTTCTCAAATATTTTTAACAACACACTACGCTGAGATATGATAATAGCTCTTTGGAAATCACCATGTTGGTAATTAAAATAAAATTCTACTTATTTTACAGATTCAAATAAAACAAATGAGGTGTTTTTTGTGACAGGCTGCTAGTCACAAAGCGCCTAAGATACGATTTAAAATGCCTACTTTGCCAAGTTGTCTATTCTGCAATGAATCTTTGTAGAGCTTTCAACATAACCTACACTAGTGGCCAACACCGCTGCCAGCATTCATGCTCGAATGCACACAGTGGCAGCTGCTGGCAATGGCAGCCACAAGGTAATTACGTGTTAATTAGTGTGCCTGTGTTTCATACATGATGCAAGATACAAAAGAAACAAACTGCTGGGACTTTTTCCCCCTCCTAGCTCCCTTACTTGTTGTTGTCTTGTTTGTTTTATTTTTTGAGCCAAATTAATTTTTTCCTCACGTTTCTACCTCTCCGCACCTTCCCTCACATCAGTTCCAACAGTTTTTCTCCTACCTGGAATTTGCTGACCTTTGTGAATCCTTATATTGAGGCTACTCTTATTACTCTTTATATCAGGTGGTGATTTTTATTCTCTCACTGTTCCATTCAAAAACTACAGTGAAAAAATGCACAGGAGGGCTCAATAATACACATTAACTGCAAGCTGCATTAACTCAGTGGTCTAACACAGCGGTCCCCAACCTTTTTTGCGCCACGGACCGGTTTATGCACGACAATATTTTCACGGACCGGCCTTTAAGGTGTCACGTATAAATACAACAAAATAAAACTAGTACCGGTACCAAAAAAAAGGAAGATTTATTTATAACACACGTGAAAAGACCCAGGAAAACAGAGTTAATGATAAAAACGATAACAAAATAACGCTGAAAACCGATAAAAACCCTGAAAACCATACATTTCACACCTGAGCCTCAACTCTCGCGGCCCGGTACTAAACGACTCACGGACTGGTACCGGTCCGAGGCCCAGGGGTTGGGGACCGCTGGTTTAACACAAAGGCAAACTGAAGAAAACAAAGAACAAGAACTGGACTGAAAATAAGTGAAACAGCAACGAGTGTCCAAAGATTTTAAAATGTTCAAAAAGTCTTGAGAACTACTGCTCTAGACCACTTTGAAAATGATAAGAAAGTCTGGCTCCTTTGAAGCAAAATATAAAAACCAAGAGGTGAATTTAGAGTTTTGCACAGTACTGCACTGATCACTGAGGGCATGTTAAACTCACACTCAAATGTCTAAATAATTACAATAAAAATATCATATTTTTTTAATATCATATATATTTTTTTTCTTTTAAGAGTTAAACACACTACTGAGGGCCATGTCATATTCCAGCGCTCATTATGACTTTATTTGAAACCATTAATTTCTTTAATAAACATCCATTCAAGAAATGCTAATCAAATTATATGGCTAATATTTAGCTAAGTGCTAAAAGTGCTCAATTACATATTTCTTTCATTATTTAAATGTCACGTATTCAGAACATTTTTGGTCAATTGTACTTTTTCTCCACTATCTATAACGTCTTTTTTGTACTGGTCTAGATTTTTAAGACATCTCCCAATAGAAAGAAAAAGAGCATCAAACAAAATTAACAAAAACAAAAACCTGTTCATAGCTTTACAGGAAACGATACCTGATCATCATTAGGATAGTCTGTGGGATATATACAATTTGTACAGTGTCACTCTTCATATGGGTTTCCTTCTACCGCAGAAATAGAGCTAACAGTGTTATCATTCAAATCTAAGCCTGTATTTGCCACTATTGAGGTGCAGTAGTGTGCAGTCTTTACTCATCACTCATTTCTATACATTTTCCTTCTAAAAAGTATAAATCTTTCCAAGGAACCAGTCTTTCTGACGTGACCAAAGTGGTCTTGACGCAAACGTTTTTAAATCTTTGAACATTGGTTACTTTTTCACTCACTTTCACTTTTGCTTTCTTGTTTGTCAAGTTACTTAACACTGTCCTAGGATTCATTCCAGTATAAAAAGGGATGACTCAGTATTGTGTACACACATAAGAGACAATGGTTCAAAGAAATGACTTTGTTATTAGCAGCCTGTTGGAAAAACATATTTTGTTCCCGCTTCTTTAGTTGAATCACTACTTTCTGTAGAAGCCTATTGCAACAATGAACGATTTCTTTCAATTTCTTAAG